CGTGTAAATGATTTAATTATTATTATAGCTTATTTTTTATTATGGATCGATGGTTAAAAACGGGTCTTTTAGAAACGAGACATGATAATCGAGATGATAGTACTGAAAGCTGTAGTGAGGTACCGTTTCACCAGACGAAAAACAAAGGAAATGATGATAGAAAAGGGAAAAAGCGAAAATATGACAGCGACTATCTACAATCGGGTTTTTCCTTTTACTGGGGATGAGTCGGAATCTAAACCGCTTTGTGTTATATGTAACGAAGTTCTTGCCAACAGCAGTTTAAAACCATCACTTCTTCGTAGACATATTGAAACAAAACATTCGACACACAAAGATAAAACCTCTTGAATATTTCAAAAGAAAATTAGCAGATATCAAAAAGTGTAGCCTTTCTTCTCTCTTGACTTCAAACGAAGATAGTAAAATGGCCCTTGAAGCATCATTTCGAGTAAGTTACAGAATTGCAAGATCTGGACAAGCGCATACAATAGCAGAAAATTTAATTGGACCATGTGCGAAAGATATCGCCAAATGTATGCTTGGGGAAAGGGCAGCAAAGAAAATTGAGCTAGTTCCCTTATCAAACAACACGGTGTCGCGTAGAATTAATGACTTGGCTAATTATGTGGAAGAACGAACTTCTAAAAAGAATAAAATTGAATTATTTTGCAATTCAACTTGACGAATCGACGGAAGTAACAAATGTTGCAGTCTTGCTTGTCTACGTTAGATATCTTTTTACGAATATTGTTCAAGAAGATGTACTATTTGCAAAATCTTTGAAAACCTACACAACTGGAGAAGCGATTTTCGATATGATCAATGGGTATTTTGAAAAGAATGGAATAAGCGGGTCTTATTGTGTAGGTGTGTGTACAGATGGTGCAAAATCAATGACAGGAAAATTTTCTCGTTTTGTGACACGGGTGAAGAAGATCAACGAGAAAATTCAATGGATTCATTGTTGTATTCATAGACAAGCGTTATTATGTAAGCGTATTCTTGCAGTTATCTACTACTTTAAGTGATGCTGTGAAAATTGTGAACTTTATAAAATCCCGTTCTACAAATTGCCGTCTATTTCGTACGCTTTGTGAGGATTTTGGAAGTTTCCACGTTTCTTTACTACTTCACACAGAAGTTAGATGGCTTTCCCGTGATAAAGTTTTCACGCGTTTGTTTGAATTGAAGTCTGAAGTTCAAGTATTTTTTATTGATCATTCGTTTCATTTGTCTTCTTGTATATCCATTGTTCTTTGGCTGCAAAAGCTTGCGTATTTAGCTGACATTTTTTGTAAACTGAATGAATTAAATATGTCTTTACAAGGCGAGGGTGTCACCATTTTCAGTGTACATGATAGAATTGAGGCTATGTTAAAAAAGATTAATTTTTGGATTCAATGCCTGCAGATGAATGAGTATGGATGTTTGGATTCTGTCAGCTCTTTTTTATCAGAACATTAAATTAAACTTGACGAAAACATTAAAAGGAGTATATGTGAACATCTGAACTATCTTCGATTAACTTTCGATGACTATTTTCTCAACAGATGCAATATATCCATCTCAGACAACTGGATACGTAATCCATTTCAAGGAAATGTAAGTTCAGAAACCTCTCTAAATATACTGGAAAAAGAAAAACTCATAGAGTTATCTTGTGACAGTTCTCTAGAAGCAATTTTTAAAGATAAATCTTTAATTGACTTCTGGCTCAGTATAAAAATTGAATATCCTGTTCTGTCAAAAAAAGCCGTTAAAGTTCTATTATACCATTTTGCACAATATATCTATGCGAAAAAGGATTTTCAACATATACTTATCTGAAAGATAAATACAGAAACAGGTTAAATGCAGAACCTGATCTAAGACTGAAATTGTCAGATATTGAGCCTAACTTTGAATTGCTTTGTTCTATCAAACAGCCTAAAATATCCCATTAAGAGTTTTTCCAAATGAAAAACATAAGAAACAGTTTGTTAAATTTATCTTGTTTTCAACTTTTATAGCCATCATTTTAGTCTTAGTAATGTTTCACGATTAATCAATTATTCTGCAATATTAAAAATATATATTCTATCAAATTTTATTGCTTTGCCTTTTTTTTCGGGGGTGGGGGAACACTGATTTAAGGCAAGAGAATTTTAGAAATGACATGGAAATAATGTAACATTTGCAGATCTCCTATGTGAAAAGAACAGAATGCAACAAAACTGCAATAATGACAATATACTTAATGGTACACAATGTCTTTATAACTGGACCGAGATCGTAGCGCTTTGGTTTTTGCACTAATTTCATGAACTCAGCTATTTATATAATTTAAACGTTTAAGATTGCTTCTGATATTAACAGCGTCTTTGAAATATTTTATTATTTTATTATTTTATGAAACAGGAAGCCATCTGCAGAAAGCTGCGGTTAAATTTTTTTTCGTTTCAAAGAAAATAAACGATAATTTCCAGACTTCCGTTTAACTCATGCGTGTCATTGAATGAAAACAAAACCGTATGAATCCCGCCTAAACGTCATTACGCCAAGAGAAAATGATGTCATCGGAAAGTATGTCCAATTACAAGTACGAATTTACCCTATGCGCGTGGCGCGGTACAGAATGCTTATATGCCTCCCCGCCTCACCCTCTTTCAACCTGTTCAGTTACCTTTCACGCTGACGCGCGCCGGTACTTGCATTCACTTAACACCTCTTTCACTACTCAGTTGCCACGGCGGGCTTTTCTCCTGCCCCTCGCTCAGGTAAGCGAGAAGCTGTAAGTAGTTTTCGTCTCATTGTGTGGACTTCTTATATCGATCTCTTGGCTCTTTAAACCCGTAATGGTTCTTGTTCATTTATTTAGCTATGCTTTCTCTTGAATTGTTTCATCTCTCTTAACGATGATGTGGAGGTTATTGCTAATATTAGCAAAGGTACTCTGTAAACCAACGCCTTAACCTCGGTCACATCAACGAAGGAGAAAAGAACGCTTTTCACGTACGTCAGTTCACAGCAGAGGGTATACTTTCTCTTTAAAAGTTGTCATATGCGCACAACAGACAGCTCTTTATATCGGAAACTTGGCGGAAAACGGGCATTTTTTGTGTTGTATTTTTGGCTTCTACAGTTACATTTTTAAAATTTAAATGAATCTAATTTCTGCCAGATCAAAACTTATAAACTTATTTTATTTTTTCCTTATGTAAATGGAGAAGCAGGTAGTGGTAGGTTAGACCGATATGTAAGAGAGCGCTGCAGGAAGAAAATACAAATAATTTAATTGCACTTGAACGCCATAGAAAGTTCCTTTTAATTACTTTTGCATGACCCTTATCAGTTCGATGACTTTCTAGCCCTCGTTGAATCATTTATCCAAAAGCACAATACTAATTTTCTTCAGAATATCTCAGAAAAAGATTGTTTAGAGAATAGGAAAAGAATAGTTGCGCAAATCTAATTTATTTATGAATTTTGTTGAGTGATAATTAAAAATTCTACATTGCATATTTCAATTTTAAAGAGTGAATGTTTCATGATCTAGGAGAGTATAAAAAATGTTTTTTAGATGTACGTACTACGTTAATAAAATTTCTTTCATTAATACTACAAAAAAATTATTTTGTTATAATATGGATAGGATTTATAGAATTACCAAATGCATCACACTTAGAAAAAGAAAGTACTTTCTGAGAAAAAGTTAATATAGAAGGAAATTTCTTTTAATTTCATTAAAATATTTTTTCTGCCTTATGCACATATTTTTACCCTTAAATATAATTGTAATAATGTCAGTTAGTCAACCATATATTAATGAAGAGTCATTATCTGATTATACTGTCGCTTTTGTCTAAAATTCATTGAAATAACTGCATTTATATAATTTTTGAAAAAAAATTGAATTATAAAATTAGTTAATTTGCCAGCGCTCATGCAAGTGCTCTTTAATCTAATAAAAAATTATCATCAAGAAGATTAAACTTCTGGCTTAGCTCTTATAAAATAATCATGCATTTTGAGAAAAAGATACATGGACCCAATAAAGTGTCTAGAAGTATTTTATAATATCGGTATGAATCTAAGGCTGAATTTTTTATGAATTTAAATATCACATACTGCCAAGTTTCATTTCTGTAAAAATGATTGCTTTCCTAATTTTTTTTAAATAAATAGCTTGCTAGTTACCAAATGTTTAAAACTAAAATCATTAAATTTGTAATATCAGGTAAAGGAACAGCCTTACGCCAATACAACACCAATTTCATTAGTTTGACGTTAGCCTAAACAGCTTTTACACAGGTCGTCTTGTGAATTGGGCCAAAGGCTTGTTGTTACAAGAAAAATAATGCGCCGCCTGGAATGCGAAAATCAAACTTGTACTCATTGAAAAATAAATGCAATCAAATTTGTATTCATTGAAAAATAAATGCAAAGTCTTTGCAGAAAAAAAGAAAAAAAAAAAAAAAAAGAGTGGTGGTAAATAAAATTCGCGCTGTCATCAAAGACGGAGATAACGAGACCCGAGACCCCGCAAACTCTAGCATCAGTTCAATTATCATCTGAGTGCCTTGCCACCACACTAGGAATCCGCTTCAAAAAATTGAACAAAATGAATAAGCATCTGTACTGTTCTGAAACTAGAGGTTAACTTTTCTCTAAATAACTTTTATCCATCGGTCCCTCTGGTGGGTCTTGAAACCGCAATCTTTGATTCAGGATGCCAACGCCTTATCCATTATACAATAGCAGTGCATAAAAGCAACTTAACATTGGTAGATATTTTAAGTAAAACTCAAAATCTAGGACTTGGAAATATATATTATTTCTCTTCAACAATCTTTTCATTTAAATTACTGTGTAAAAATTATTAACTGTATCTCATTTATGTTTGATAACTATATTTATGGATTTATATTATTATATTACTCTCATTATTACTCTTAAAAAGCTTGTGAATTTTCTTTAAATAATTTATTTAATTATTATATTAACTTGTGTATTTTTAGGTATGTTCTTAAAAATATTTATGAAAATTATTCGATTTGGTTTCACATTTTCCTCAAGAAGAATATTTGAAGGTATATTCATTCGAAAACTGTGGTAAAAATTGGACATTTGAAACATGATATCTGAAACTGACAGAGCAAGGCTCAGAAAAGTGATATTGAGTCAATTCCCGCGGTCTCCGGCCATCCAAAAAATACCGCTTCTAAACTCTCTTCTAATTCGTTACCGCTTTCCGCCCCAACCGCATGATTGCTTTGCTGTGAAGTGGCCTTTAACTGCAAATACAGCATAAAAACGAAAAATCTGTTAAAGATTTGACGTATGTCAGCTTAGTTCTGTGTGTTAAGAAACTGTTTCGATAGCAAATAAAATGTTTGTGATTGTTAAAAACTGAAATGTATATGTGTGCGACGATTATTGCTACAAATTTTATGTATCTGCACTCTGTCATCAACATCCAAATTATTATATTACATATACATCTAGGAAAAAATTGAAGAAAAAATCATTCGATTAGAGTATCACTCGTTCTTATCAGCAGCATAGCAACGTGCACTTGATGTTATCTGAAAATAATTTTAAACAATGGTAACTAATATATTTCGATTTTTTAAAAAATTATAATACATGTCATGTTGTAGGAAAGTTGATTTCGCAAATGTTGATCTATAAAGTAAAGCAAACTTGACAGCCAAAGCAGATTAAATATTAACTTTTACTTAAAGTAATATTTGTGGCCACAATTCACTTGGCACTCTCATCGTGTCTAATTTAAAACGTTTAAAATTTTTTAAAGTTTTGCGGTGAAACGAGAAGCAGTAATCAGCAGTCTAGCTAAGCTGAGATGCAGAAAGTTAAGTGCGCAATTATCCAATAATGAAAGTTTATTTAGAGAAAAATTTCGGTTTTGGAAATTGTAAGTTCCGAATTAGCTACATCATCATCGTTATGTAAAAGTCATATGGCATTGAATAATCTAGAAATGCCAAAGCCCAGAAAAGTTATAAACAACTGTTATTTTTAGAATAGAGCGGAAAAATACTACCCAAATTAAAATGAATAATTAAGGGGCTGTTGCTAATTTAAATTATAATTTTGATTTATATATTTTTATCATATATATATATATTAAAAGACAGTAAAGGATAGGTTTTTGTAATCATTGAAAATTTCAAGAAGTTACAATTTTCTGATGTATGAGTTTATATGCATTGGACATATAATGCTTGAAATGACGATCGGTATTGGAAAATCGTCAAAACTTTGTTAATTACATCAGAAATCCGAAACAAACTTCATTTGGAATATTATTTCTCAATTTATGGTAAGAACGAAAATTCTATAATGATAAATTTAACGCAAGATAAAAGCCAAAAAATCCGAAAATTCATTTAAATGTCAAACAAGATAAATCGATATCGAACAAGATAAATCGATATCGAAAAAACTGCTGTGATATGTTGCGTTGTCGTAGCACTTATGCATCAGATTGGCAAGAAAGTAATTTCGTTTTTTTAGTGTGAATTAAAACTCAGTTTTTTTCTATACAAAAAAATGAACTACTTAATGTCAAATATCTTCTATTTTGTTCCGCGGGCTTTTGCCATTTCTTTGTTAATTTCATGATTTCGCAGTCATAGAACTTCTAGTCTTTATCAGCAAAAAACTCAAATAAGTTCGATTTGATATCATCATTATTACTGAAATTTTTAACATTTAAGAAGTGTTATAAATGAAAATCCGATGGTACAAGGTCAGGACTATATAGGGGATAAGACATCATTTCCTAACCAAGTTCCAATACTTTCGTATGTGTTGCTAAAGTTGTGTGAGGCCTCCCTGTAGAATACGATTCCTCTGCAATTTGAAAGTTCTGGCTTGTTCTTTTTGACTGCTTCCTTCAGTTTTTGTTTGCAGTAAGCATCTGCCAACGTTTGTTTGCATCCTGTCGTGGCTCGGTAGCTTGGAAGCAGCTCGAAATATACAACACATTTATAATCTCATCAAACTGGCAGCATGATTTTTTTCTGATGCAATTTAGCTTTCAATATATTTTATGCTAATTCATCCTGCTTGGGCCATGATCTTTTCCTATTTATGTTATTGCGTATTTATGTTATTCTTATATCAGGTTTTACATTCTCTTCATTTTAGCCGTTCTCATAACTTTCACTAAAATTTAATTTGATTAATATATTTCATCACTTAAAACAAATTATTATATGACGTAAGATCCATTTTTTATCACCAGTAATAATTCGTTTAAAAAAAGGATCGATTACATTACGTTTCAAATGCACATCGCAAATATTGATTGGTTGTGTTAAGAGAATTTCCTTCATTCATGCGGAACCCACATACTGAACTTCTCAACGAGTCGAAAACATCGTATGCCATTTTCAATTGTTGTGTGTGATACATATAACCTTTTTGTAGTCTCTTAGTTATATGACGGTTCGATTCAATTATGGCTTTAATTTTTAAAATTAATCAATAGACTGAATGACAAGCCTATCGTTGTTAACCCGTGAGGGCTTAATAATACGTGAATTATTAAATCATAAATATTCAGGAAAAAAATGATAGTTCGTCAAATACGATTTAATACAAGCCATATTGGAATACATTGAAATATCGTTTCGTCAAAACGAAAGAACGGATGGATTTCGAACAACTTATGAACAACATATTAATATCTAAGAAATAATAGATTTCTAAATAATACGAAAATACTAAAAAGAAAATTAATAATATTAATTAACTTATTCTATATTATAAGTGAAGTGTTTCTGATTCTACATTTTCTTTATATTTATTCTTATATCAGGTTTTACATTCTCCTCATTTTAGCCGTTCTCATAACTTTCACTAAAATTTAATTTGATTAATATATTTCATCACTTAAAACAAATTATTTATGTCTTTAGATATCAAACTGGCAAATTACCCAGCAGCAATATTTGACTGTAATGAAGTAATAAATTTGGAACCAAACAACATAAAAGGTGAACTTTAATTTTTAATGAATTATTACACGTAAATCACACTGTTTCTTAATATATTTTATTTGTTTTCTGATTGCAGCATTATACAGAAGAGGTTTAGCTTATAAAGAAGGAGAAATTTATGATTTAGCCAAGCTGAATTTTAAACTGATTTTGATGATCGACCCCACAAATAAATCAGCTAAGGTAATTCCTTTATTTGAAAATTGAATTGCAGAATCTACAAATCACAAACTCTCAGTCAGAGACTACAGAAATTTTATTACTAAAAGAATGACATATCATTGATTCATTAGTAAGCATTTGTTATAGTTATTATGAGTCTCTCAGCCATTTTAATTATGTTCTATACCTTTACTGAAAATGAAATACGACTGTTGGCTAATATATAAAAGCACAATGAACGAAGAAAAAAATTTTATCAAGTATAATTCAATATTGTTGCATTTTTTAACAAATAAATTCTGAGTGAAAAGTGTTAGATTCTGTAATTTCTGAAGCTGAAAAGCAATGGTTTGCTAGATTTTTGTCATAAAATATATGGGTAAAATCTTAACACTTGATACTACTGATCATTAGCAGAACCATATTCATTTTACAAATATATTATAATGTTAAAAAAACGATAATTAAATTTAATTTAATCAGGAAGTGTTGAGGTGCAGAGCATGCAAAAATCAGTTACCGTTGCATCTGCCTCTAAAGCAACAGCAGCTATTATACGACTAAACATGCAATCAAACAGACTTTGAATGATAATTACAGTTATTTTTTTCAGTCCATGCAGCTTCAATTTTATGTCTAATTCATCTGCCGTATTGCCTTGTGGGTACTGTTGGCCAGTTTCGCTGCAGCCCTTGACCGGACGTTTTCAGTTAGTATGAGATTTGGAGAAAGCTTCACCCAACACAGAATTCGAACATTTCTGTATTGAGAAACCAGAGAACATCATTATGCAATCTCTCACTGTCCCGTTGAAAGATAGTAATAATGAGGCTCCAAAGATATGACATATCCACGGAGATTAAAACCTAAGTAATGTAATGCATATGTGGTCTAAAGGTTGTGCCCATTTGCATCCCACACCAATAATTCCGTTGCTGGTCGATATGAAAAAGAATGCGAGTTTCTAGAATCTTTTTCCCTCTTTGCCTTCATACGCAGGTATTGCTGGTTGTAAGCAAAAGCGGAGTTTGTAAACTGATGCATGAATGTGCGTCGATGAATGCATCCTTGAAGGCGTTAATTCCTGCATTTTAGAGTCAATGGAAGTTGAAATAATGATCGCCTTGCTGACAATCCGTGACACTGTAGACATCCTTGCACCACAAGTGCGGACATATGGCGCAAGGACATCTAGTTATGTTGCAGCTTTGTAACATAACTAGTTTCCTGTTTTAGAGTACATGATATGGGTATACAAATATAAAATACAGAAAAGATGTCTGTTGTCTGGGACATTTGTGAGCTGGAAGCCACTGAATTCTACAAGTTCGCTATACGTAATCCTCCTGCCCTCATCAACTATAAATTTTCATAACAGTGCTTGGTTTTTCACCAGTGCAAGAACTAGTTGCGCGGTTCGAAGATCCGCTGTCTGCAGTGTACGATTCTATCGCAATCGAATTCTGAGATATGCTGATATGAGTTCTTTTTTTTATAAGGCAGAACATAACCTCAAAAAACAAGAAGTAAACGAGATTTCCAAATAAAGAAACTGCATTTCAATCTGCTTTTTTAAATTGCTTCATCGTGTGTACTTGCCTGCAAGGTGCATATGCCAGGAAATTGTAAGCATTTACATATCCTATAATGTCCTACAGGGTGGTTATGATTAAAGTGATCCTACTCAGACCTATGCAGAACTGGTTCTAGTTGAAGTATATCATTGGAACTTTTAATACGTTATATGGGCCATGGGGAAAAGAAAACTGCAATAAAAATTAATAGTTCAAATTTCAACCACTAGATGGCTCTTTCCATCCGATTGTAGAGACGTGTTATACAAACTAGGAACTCTTTAAAAGGCAGTAATCAATACCGTAAAACCATTCTTCACCGAGGATTACGGAAAACAGTTCAAGCTTTACTGGCTCAGTTGTTTTATTAGAGCTGCAATAATATTTTAAACTGCACAGCGAGAATATCGGCATTTGAAAGGCTTACGAAAAGGTCTGTGTTGAAGAATGGTTTGAAAAAGATGATTGTTAAATTTGAAAAAGCTAGAGGCTGCCAGGAAAAGGACGGAAACGTATTTCAAATGAAATTGGGGGGGATCACTGCTACTGCAGTTGATAGAGCATCCGCCTCCGCTATCTTTCAATAAGTACCCAAGTTGCGTTACGTGTTTTGTGTTTCTCTTGGGAAGTGTTGGGAACTTTTAAATATGGGACAAAAAGTTCTTTTCAGTACATCCATTGTGCAGGCAGAGACGTCTCAGGGTGTGATAGTGCTTGTATGATAATCCTTTACGATGCCCATATTGTTTGGCAAAACGTAATAATGGATGTAGGGAAACAACCCTTCTGGGTAGTAGAATTTTTTTAATTACAATTTAAAATAGCATTTTGTACACTTAATTTCGTGCTTTTTACTCTAAACAAGCCCAGACGGTGAACACGAACACGGGTTTACGACATCCCTGCATGTAGATCAATCAAAGACGTAAACTGTCATGTCTACTGTTTCATTTAAAAATAAAAATTTAGGGTAAGCCCTAAACTCCCTTTTCTGATCAATCTTTTTGTTTCAACATTATTCATATTTCATTGTTTAATTTCTCATAGATAATAAGCTGATATAAATGATAAATGTATATTCTTCAGCGGATGCACATGCTTTCTAGTATATTTAGTGTTCTCAGTTTAGACTGGCCGCTAGTATAGTAACGCGTGTATACATGCATATATACTATAACAATAGATGTGCACTTGTACTGTTGATTTTGGTAGTTTGCGCACAAAATGGGTTAAGAACAAGATAAAGCTACTTAATATGGCTACGCTGAGTTAAATGAGCTTCCCTTTTTATGCCAGAGTCAATGACATAAATCATTCCCATTATCAATGATTTTTTTTTTTACCACCTAGTAGACAAATTTTCATTTCTGGATCTGTAGAAGCAAATGATTTTGAATAAAAAAATTCGGAAATTCAGTTTTTTCTTCGTAGATGTACTATACATTGTTATGTATTGATGTTACTTATTAATTTAGAATATTTTATGCAATCATTTTCTTGGGTATTTTTGTATGCACAAATTTATGGACATTTATTAGATCTGCAGGTGTTTATTTCGTCTATTATGTTAAAATTTTGTAATTTCGAATTTAAATTGTAGAGATAGCTCAAATAAAATAGAGACATAGGCAGAAAGCCTCTTAGATTATTAGGGATATTTGACGAGTTTTCGGCAACTTGATGGAATTTTAAAAGTTACCTGAAAAATGCATTTTGAAGCCTAAGATTTTCCTAATTAATAAATAGGTAATTCCTGATTAATAACATTTAAATATCTTTTTTCTCTTCTAAACTTATAATTATTTTTGTTAATGAATTATTACTGTTATTGAGTTATAGAGTTCTACGCGTTAATTAGACGGCCATGTGTATTTTGTGAGTATCATATTTCATTAAGGACAAATCAAATGATAACATTATGATGTATCCTGAATTTAACTTCATGAAATCCGAGAAAGGATTTTTCCTCTTCAGCACGCGCCTTTGTGGTGTGACGGGAATCACATCTGACTGGCATCAGGAGTTTCGGAGTTTGAATCCGGGCGAGAGTATAGCTTATTTTCCATATTTGCTGCCTCAGCAAGCCTGACGATTCTACAAAGTTTGAAAGGATTTTAGTTACTTAACTAATTATTATGATTTACACATTTGTGATAACTTCTTTTTTCCGTAGTCTGACCAGAATGCAAATTATTTGTTTGAATGTTAAGTTGAGGGTTTGAATGTTTTAGAGTTAGAGCTTTTGACAGTCTTACCTGCAATTTGTGTCCTATCACTAGCTCAACCAAAGATTATTCCGGCTTTATAGCCGTTTTCGATAGCCAACATTAAAACGCACCGTTAAAATATTTGAGCCGTATTAAGTACATTAGTTTCTGTAAACTTCTACTACGTTACTTAAATTTGAACTTCAACTTTCAACTTATATTATTTTAAACACCCACAAATGACGGAGTTTTGCGTGAAAGCAAAAGTAGTGCTTTCTATTAAATTTAAAGAGTTAATAAAAGTTTATTTTAACCGTCGTAAGACTTCTTAGGACATCTTGGTTCAGACTGGAGCGATAAGTCCTTTGTCAGTCTAGTAGAGTATGAAGAACGTTGGTTTAAACTTCTACGCTACAGAAATCCTTCAAGTTAACTCATTTACTTTGCTCCACTCATGCATTTTTGTTTCTTTATACTGGCATTAATTTTATTATCTTATAATTAATAACTATAATTAATTATCAGGATTTTTAACAAAACTTTTTAATCTTTATTTATTTAATCAAATATAGCAAAGCAAAGAAAGGCTATAAGCCTAAGCAGAGAGTTTGAACATTCCAAAAAATGCATTTTAAAGCTCTAGGACCACCTTTTTCTCAAAATTTTCGGTAGTGCTTTTGCAACCTTCTAAATATCGGCTACATTGGAGACTACAGTCAGTCAATCAGTTCAGTCAATCAATCAATCAGTCAATTTATCATAGATGTGTGCCTTTATTCAGCTCCAATCTGGTTATTATTGTTATAGATTTTGTTCCGTAAGGATTCGTGCGATATTCCTCACGTGTGAAAAAGAATTTGCCTAACATCTGTTTTTCCCTTTAAAATATTTACAGTTGTTTTTCTTCCCTAAGCTGTTATTAAATTCAAGTGTTATTTATCAAAGTGTCAATATATCTATCCTCCTCTGGTGAAGTTATTAAGGTGGTCTCCACGAAGTGTAGTGTACAACAAGTGGTTCAAAAATGGAATACTCTTTGAATGTCTATTGCGAGAAAGATGAAAGTGCACCTGAAGGTCAACTATGGATATGATTGCTGCTAGCAAGGAGGAAGCTGCTGAAATGAGGAAGAAGGTAAATGCGAATACTGCACCTCTTCTTTTATGAAATGAAGGGCTTCATAAGAACTGCAAAAGCAATGAGGAAAAGTACTGCGATTCTCTCTAAAATTAAAGGCTCCATTGAAGAGAATGCCGAAATGACCTTTCGTGCTATTTGAGGTATGAAAGAGAATATTCCCGGTGTTGAAGGTTAAAATGTCAATGGTTTGAACGAAAAACTAGCTGCTGTAGTAGAAATATTTGAAAACGAGGCAAAGTAACATTTTCTTTTGATTAAAAAATCTTTGCAATTAACGAGAAACTGAGACAAAAGAAGAAACTTCTAGAACCGGCTCCATCTACGAACAGGTCCACGCTCAGTCTTCTGTGGCTGTGACTAAACTCTTCATTCATCATGGTTATCTCTTGGTCATCTCTTGTTACATTATCAGACTCTCATCATACAGAGGAAAACTATCAAGGAATACATACAAAACGCAATACGAAATACGTAATTTCGCTGGTAAATCAGCAAGGCTCCATCTCGAAAGTTTCGTATTTGGTCTATGAAGAAAAGTTGTCATAATATTATAAATGTTTCTGGCTAAAAACGGTCAAATAATTACTTTTCGGAGAAAATTTTTTCAAAGATAACCAGTAATTCTTAATTGATTGAGAGCTAACTAATAATTGGGAATGGTCATAATTATTGATATTCTCAGAGAAGTTCTTAAAAATGCGAATAGAAGATACTGAAAATATTTTTTGCACGAGTAAAATATGCACAAAATCTTGCTTTTAACAGAATATTTATTTTATTAAATTATTTATTTATTTTTAATTAATTGATTTATTTTAGGATCAGCTTGAAGAAATAAAGAAGTTACAGTTACAAAAAAGACCAGAAGAACAGCGTGCCATGATTGAAGAAATTGAATCTACACTCGCAGATGAAGAAAGCAGTAAAGAATCCAATATCACAACAAAACAAGAATCAAGTACCAGACTCGCAATACAGGAGATTGTAAGCAATAGTCAGCATCAGCAAACACTTGACGAAATCTGCGGAAATTATAAAGCTGAAGATGACATTCCGTCTTTGTCCCAAAAGGCAAGAGAGATTTTAAGTATTTTTCCACAAAAAAAAGACAAAACTGATTCAACTAATTCATTAAATTCGAAGCGTACTTGTAGTAAAAAAAATGATATAGAAGAAATGGGACATTCCTTTACTTACATTATCACTGAAGACTGTATTGAAAATACTAGGAAGAAGCTGGAAGAAAACAGTTCTAAAAAGACCAATTCGAAATCTCCAGTCGAAGCAGAACAGCCACAAAAAGAATGTATGGACATTCGGATCGAAAGTAATTCGTCTCCTAAAAATGAAAACTCTTCAGTTTCTGAGAAACAGGATTTCTCAGTCCCAGGAAATAAAACTAATCTTAAGAATAAAAAAAATTATATCATGCTAGAAGGAATTAAAACGCGTGAAACTAAAGCTATAAAACAAATTTGGAACAAAAATGAAATGAAAGCGAATGATTCAGAAAGCATTTATAAAGAAACGGTTTCCCAAAATTATGCAAATAATGAGAAAGTAAAACTGGAATTCACTTCTCCTACTCATTCAAATTTCTTAAAACTTAAGCCAATTGAAAGAAATACAATTAAATTTCGCACCAAGAAAAAGGTAAGACATCGAAATTCCCTTAAAAACCCTCTCTTCCGTACCTATTTATTATTTCATATATCATATATGTTTAGGTACTTTAATAAAATTCATTACAATTTTCCCCAGAACATATTACAAAGAGTCTTAACTTTGTAGCATGTTTTAATGTTTCTTTTAACAAGATTAAAATTTAAGAAATTCCAAAAATTTAGTTTAACATTAAAAGTAATGTAAAAAACTGTAGAAAATGCGTACCTTGTAACAGCGATAAGAAATACGCAGGGAAATAACTTAAATTTCATCACCTTTAAAGGAATTTATATGTTATCTTTAAATCATAATTACACTTTATCGAATTGAATTTTAAATATTATGTATTAAAGACAAAAATTCATCATTTTTTCAAGTTCTGATAATTTGTATACATAATCTTCTATGCTTAAAAGAAGTATAGGGGGGACTAGAAAGCAATATCTTACTTTTCCTTTAAATTAAATTAAATAGTTTAATAATATTTTTTGAGTCAATGATGTAACCGATGATTAATCATTATCAACGATTTTTTTGCCACTTTTGTGGACAAATTTTCACTTCCAGATCTGTAGAACAAATCGCTTTGGATTTAAAAAAAAAAAAAAAAACTGGAAAATCTATTTTTGACTTCCTCCGCATTTCAAAATTTTGTCCACTCAAGAAATGTTTAACGACTTGAATAAAAGGTGTCGCGGTTAATCTTTGGATTATGGTAACTTGGCGATTTTTTTGACGAAAATTTCGCGACCAACCCTGCTACAGCAACCTGCTAGTTTTGTTTTGGACACCATTTTGTTTTCACGAAGTAAAGGCATTTTTTTTTTTTTTTTTCCCTCAACATTTTTTCCCAACAATCTGCTAGCCGAATTACGCTTATGCTTGAACTTTTATGGAACAAAACTGCTTAATCATGACGAATATTAGGTGCGAAATTGGGAGAAAGTGCAGAATCGCCCACTGCTTGCCGCGTTTTTAAGAATTGCACATACACGGTATTATCCATGTACACGTCGACCTATTTTCACTTAAAAAAAATCCCAGAATTGCACAAAAATGGCATTGCGCACACTCTTGACTTTATCCATGTACACTGCTAAAGTCCTAGCTAGTAACCTTTATCGCGTTACCAAAATGTCGCCAAACTACCTGTTACCATATTCCAAAGATTAGCCGGTGTCGCAAATGCGGTCAAGAAAGGGAGAATGACGTTAATTACGAAACGAAAGTAAAGAGATGCGTTAGAGGACATAAGGAGGATTATACTGTAGAAGAAAGTTGTTTGTTTAAAGTATTTTTATTAGTATTTTGATTTGAAAAGTTCAAAGTATTTTTATTAACCTTTGTTTCCTTTGCCTACGAGTAATGTATATGTGTACAAAGTAAGCATACTATAAAGGAAGATGAACCCGCAAAAAAGCTAATCAAAGAAAAATTGAACTAAAAAGTCATTGAATTTACAAAGACAGAAAGAAGAATTTATCAAAAGTCGAAATTAAACAATTTAAAATCGATTAAAATTACATTTTCAGGTAGTTATTACTAATTGTAATGGAATAGAAAATTTGAATATTTGAATTATTTATTTTTAAAGAAAAAATTTTAAGAAAAAAGAAAGATACGAAAAAGTAGAATTTTTTTTAAATGTTTTTTTTTTTTTTTTTTTTTTTTTTTTTTTTTTTTTCCTTATAGAATGCACATGAATATATTTTTACTCAATGAAAACTAAAATTGGTTAGCTAACTCATCTATCCTTTATCTACACCTTAGTTTAGTGATCTGTATTAAGCGCCAATTTCTTTTTTAATTTAAATGCATCAAGAATAATTTAAAAAAGGACCTAATTCTCTTTTTAACCTTAAATTCTTCAATTATAAAACTGCATTTTCATCTGTAATCATGTGCAATAATTCTTTAAACATAATTCAGTGCAGGAAAATGAGATACTTTAACGGGTTGGAAAAATCCATTGAGATTCTTTTTAAAAAATATGATAAAACTTATAAAAAATCTAGGAAGTGAAATAATTCCGCACAATTTTTATAACTCTTAATCACTGAATTGCACTGAATTACTCTTTATCAACAACATGAAAATATAATTGAATAATTAAGTGTATGTATATGCTACATAAAAGCCTATATGCACACATATGTGTAACGTATATACGAGACAGTTTTGCTTAGAAAAACCTATGCAGATAGCCGCCAAGGGCTTTCCTTTAAGAGTTTCTTTCCTACGTGTTAAATGGCAACCAATAAAGTTTGAAGCAAAACTCTTCCTGAAGTACATGATGAAGAAAGTGTGCTAATTTAACAATTTTCTTGATTGCACTCGACAATAACTTTTTATTTCTGCTTAAATTCTGGACAACAAACAATGCATAGGACAGAAAACATGCATTCCTACCACAAAAACCTACCACAAAACATGCATAGAACTTTGCTTTTACAATTTTTAGGTCGATTTTCACACACGTAAAGCAACATTTTTTCCCTTTCATAATTTTCAATTTTTCATCATGACTTAAATTTTGTACTTTGTAGCAGTCTTTACTTGAGATTTTTCACAGAATATACAATTTATTACATTATTGTTATTTATTTCTTTTGCTCCAGAAAACAAGTTGCTTGTCGAAAATATAGTAATATCTTGCTATCCTTATGAATTTTTCTGCAGGGATCACTTTGCTTCATACCTGACTTTGCTAGAGTTATTCTTTCTTTCCCTTCGACCTCAGCCCTTAGAAAATTTGAAAGCTGTGTCAGTCTTGCACTATATAATTTCTCTTCATTTAATGAGTTTCTCAACCAAACTCTCAACACGTCTTCTGGAATACACTATTCCACAAGTGGGAAGAGCATTGCAGAATATTTGTCTAAGGTCATCCCAATGTATTCTAATGATCTGAGGTGGAATTCACGTTTTTCACATAATTCAGTGATACTAAGTCTTCCTTTGGTAGCCTTTTTAACTACTAAAGTTAATAATAGTTCACGAACATAGCATTCCACTAACAAATCCTCACGGCCAAATCTTGCTTTGAGGCTTTCAATCGTTTTTGTATAATTTTCTGCCGTTAGGTCTATCGATGATCTCTTTCGCTCTTGTACCTGGCGACATACACTTTATTAAACATCGGAATTTGTCTTCCAACTCCATTTCTTTATGCTTGTGAATTCATTTAAACTGACTCGAGAAACACAACCATTCTTTATCTTCAACGCCAAATTTCATTAGTTCAATTCCGCACAATTTTATAACTAACTTGGAGGTTTGTTTTTGATTTTTCATTACTTAATATATTCCTGTTTGATTGTAATTTACCTTCTATAAAAGAATTGATGCAAATTATAGCTTTACCAAATTTGACTTTATATTCTTCTATAGATTAAAATTCGTCAGAATAAGTTTTACCATTATCGTCAACCCTTAAGGCAAGTTCTAAAAATTTTGTCATCAAGACTCATTAAATCAGCACTAATGCGTTCTAAAGCAGCTAATTTAATCTTAATATCACTTATTTCTATATTTTCATTATCAAACAGAGATATTAAACTTTTATATGTCTCGGTAAAGGATGTTCGTAACGGAGATCGTTTCTTAACAAGATGCTCCATTGTAAACCAAAACCAAAAATTTAATTAAGTATTTCTTAGATAAAGTACTGACCTCTTACATTTTAATCAGGTGCTGAGGGTCACCAAATGTTAGATACGACTGTTAATGTTCACCATTTTGTCCTTTCATAAACTGATTTCTACCTAAATAATCTCTATAAAAATTTTAAACACAACAAAACAAGTTTATTCTACCCCCCCAAAAAAACTGAAAGGTTTCAGATTTTAAATTACGTCTAAGGGCGTTTTAACGATCTGTATGTTACCTTAATTTATTAAATGTCATGTTCTATGTACTCAAACCATAAAATTCAGTTCCACAGCAATATCACAAAATAATTTTAAAATGAGCATATCTTTAGAATTTCCGATACAGAGTCTCGTGCATTGGAGATAAAAAAATGTTTTTTTCCCCCGTCAAGTGTTGCCATTACTCGTTTTGAAATCGTTTAGTTTTTTTTAATCAAAAATTCGTTGAAGTGTTACATAATATGAAATCGATAGCAAAACTATTTTCAAATTCAAATTAGGGCTTCCACATGCCCATACTCTATGGAAGATTACGTTATTCAAATTTTGATGGCTCTAGGTACCGTTTTTTTTTGCGAGAACAACGGTACCTAGACGTGACCACAATGCGAGAAACATTCATACATTCGTATAGATTCTTCATTATTTAATTTTTTTAAATATGATACAGGTCGATATTTGTTGGCAATAATTTGAAAAGTGATTCGCCGTTTATACATTTCACCGCAGAACGAAATTAATAGTCCTTCAGGGCAAATTATCTCTTTGGACTAAAAAAACTATTTACAACTGTTGCCACTCAAAGCAAGACTAAAGGGGAAATAACACTACACTGGTTGAATGCATATGAATAATGCTATGCTACTTTTAGAATTTTTGTAATTTTGGTGTTGAATTGCATATATGGAGTAAGTGTGATGAAAATGATGCTTAATAATAAAGCTAGATACAAAAAAGAAATGGGTTAGGAGTGACTGCAGTAGCAGACAGGTAGACTGCGAACTCAGCGAGGGCGTAAAAAATCTTAACAAATCCTTTTGGACGGTCGTTAAAATCTGAACCCTTTCAGATTTTTTGCTTACATTTTTTTAAGGAAGACTGACCCATTACATTTGATACAAAAAATAAAATTAAGTTTTGTGATTAAAATATCATTGCAGAACACTAATACCATCAAATTTTAAAACCGCATCTTTTCCAGTAAGCTAATGAAGTATTTAACGTATTAAAATCTGACTAAGGATTTTGCCTTTAGTTAAATGGAAAAAGGTTTGATTTCATATAATAATGATATAATAATTATTTTGCTTTCCTTAACAAATCTTGAGTCTGGAGTTTCTAAATGAAAATTTAAACCTTGTAATTTAGAAAACTGATATATGCCTCAAATACAAAACTTATTTTTGTAATAGGTTACACCATTTGAATTTCTTCAAATATGGTATTCTAGCAATGCAAATTCTGACAGTAATATTGGTGCTCAATGTCTGAGTTTAGTAAAACCTGAGGAGTTCCCTACTATGGTCACGAATAAAATTGATGGTTATATGTTAAATGGATTACTTAAAGCTATTTGCAACATCATCACAACAGGTAAACAATTTTTATGATTATATTAATGACGCTTGATTTATTATCCGTGATTAATACACCAAGAGAAAATATGAATCATATTACTTAAATTCAAAATAAAATTACACATTAATAATTATTCGTAACTGTTACTTTAAATTATGCTTTTCCGCATTAATTGTTTTTCCTTAAAATAGTTTTTTGATGCTTCTGATCGATTTTACATTGTTGAATCCTAATATGAAATTTATGTTCCATTATAATCCACCAAATTTTAAGAGAAATAAGGAACAATAAGAAGTTAAAAATATTACTTTGAAAATCAATGATCATTCATTTTGATTGCAAAAAAATATGGAAATTTAACTGATCGCATTGCTATTTGGATTTTATATCAAATGAATTATAAAAATAAGTTTATTTTATTGTACTTTTTCCTATATAAGCACTAAATGAGAACTTTCTTATTAAGAGCACTAACTAGCATTAGTCATCACATTTGAATTCTATTTTGAAGTACACATCCTTTCCAGATAAGTGGAATTTTGCTGAAACCTTTCTCTACCCTCATATACAAAGTTTCACAAATTTTCAGGAAAAAATCCAAATGAAAGTTAAGGAAATACAGTTCACGAAAGATACTGTTACCCAGCGTGCTGTCTATAGAACAAAAGAAATTCTTCAGCATATTTCTATATATTAGTTTCCATATTTCTAATTTTCTCATAAAACTGAGGAAGACCTTCCGAAATGCATTCCTCGCCTGCTTTCACTGTTTCTTTCAGCTTGAAATTTATGTTTCAGAATGTAGTCTAAGAAAACTTTATTTTTTAGCTTAGACTTGCTTCTGCCAGTACTTTCAAATATTGAAGAGAATCCATTTCCCTTTTTACCCACAGTTTTCAAAAATCGATGAAACTCCATTTCATAAAGTTCCGATAAATAAATCACTCTCTTATCCACTATGGCTTCATGCATCATGTGTTTCTCATCAAATCGTACAAAATCCATATCTTTCAGGTATAATGGTCGACCGTTGTTTAAAGAATCCTCCTGCATAAAGAAACAATATCATTGTTCAACAAATTTTAATACAGACATGAAATAAGCTGCTTCTTACTAAATTTCACGTCATGAATATGCACTTTATTTTGTGAGACTGGATCGTTTTTACAAAATTCATGTTACATTTTAAACGGATTTTGTGATTTTTAAACGTTTTGCTTGCATATATTGAGACTTTGACATAACTGCAGCAACTTGCATACTGTGAGGACCAATGTTTTCAGCTCCGCTGTTAAAAATACACTACCCATGCATTTTTATCTTCAATTAAATTCAGTAACGGAAATGGAATGAGAGCTCCACCCCACAAAGGGTAACGTTTTTGCTCTTCAAGCCTTAATTTACCAAATTTTAATAAAGATTTTGTCCGCTTCTATGCCCCCTTTCGTGTTGAGGGTTATGAGTGAGCTATTTCCATTCCGTGATTAAAATTACCTGTGGTAATTTGATGTAATGATTACTTTATGCATACATCTACAAATGTTATTGTGTTACCATTATACTGCCGATCACTCAACGGTATTTCCCTACATAGTCAGATTGCAAGACTTGAACACCCGCAACCTCTTCTGTTACACCAAAACGAGAGACAATCGAACTTTTTTAATGTCATTTTTTATGATGAATACCCCTTAGTAAAGACTCACATGGCACTTAGGTAAGAAAATGTGCCCAAAAACTTAAAACAGCGCATTTAATGAAGCCTACTTTGCATTCTTGTAATGCCACAACCTTAACGTGAGCACAACTGTTCCACTGATGATCTTCACAGAGAATATTGTAACAGCTTTAATATCGTTATTAATCTCTCGTGCATTTGAAATAGATGAATAATAATGTACAGATTACTGGCAATATTGAAATGCAGGCTCGAGAGCTGCATGCATTTTCTCGCATGAAGCATGTAATTATTTTTTTTTAATAAGTATATATAATTTTTCTTCTCTTGTTTGTATGTCGCCTTTTTTTTTTTTTTTTTTTTTTTTTTTTTTTAGTGCAAAATAAATGTTATTCCTGTGTTCCATCATTGGAGTTTACTTCCAATTGCTAAAGAAGTATCACAGTCATATTATTTTGGAGGCACCTACCGAGATCGAATAATCATGCGTATTTTTATTTTATTAGTTCATCACTGAAAATAATATTAGTGATACCAGATTATTACTTCCTGTTAATATTGAATTGCTTTATTTTATTAGTTCATCACTGAACATAATATTAGTGATACCAGATTATTACTTCCTGTTAATATTGAATTGCTTTATTTTATTAGTTCATCACTGAACGCAATATTAGCGATACCAAATTATTACTTCCTGTTAATACTGAACTGTCTTATTTTATTACCGTATTGGATATTATTTTTAATATTCATTTTAGTTGTCCAGACGGTAGATATATATATTGCTCTAAGTTGTTATTCTTATTTTAGTTACAATTAATGTGGTAGAGAGAATGAACTTCATATAATTTAAATATTTCACTTTTTGAGGTATACGTATTTAACAGAGTGCATTTAATTCCGTGATTCTTGACTGCATTCATTAATTAAAGTAATTGAATTGAGCTATTTTGAGGAAGTAAAGAACACAGTATTCGTTAATTTTAAACATAGAAACAATGTCTTACTTAGGAAGAGCTCGTAAGAAAGATTTGCAAAATCTCGCGGCTGAACTGGGAGTTCATGTGAATGCAGATTTGAAAATAGTCGATTTAAAACAGAAAACTGTTGAAAGTAGAGATTATGATAAAGTATTCGTCAAAGGAGTCTTAGACACAATAATAGAAGAACGGAAAGAGAAGGAGGAAAGGGAAAGAGAGGAAAAGAGAAGGAGAAAAGGGAAAGAGAAGAACGGAAAGAGAGGGATGAAAGAGAAGAACGTAGAAGACAGGAAGAAGCGGAAGAGTGGAGAAGAAAAGAACAGTATGAATTAAAGAGATTAAGACTTGAAGCAGAGACAAAGTCTCAAAATACCGGACAGATCGAGCCGAAAACGGAGCTGCGTCACTTTATGCAGAAATTCGATGACAAGAAAAGAGATATCAGTCTATATTTGCTATTGTTTAAAAGGCAAGCAGAATGGGCTCAAATTGATAAAGAAGAATTTGTATCTCATTTACTAGGACTACTTCCTTACGAAGTAACCCAGTTAATAGCTAGAGAACCCTCCGATACGTGAAGAATTTATTGCTAAGACGATTTAAACTAAGCCCGGAAAAGTTTAGGTAGAAATTTATGAAACATCAAAAGAGTACCGAATCCACATGGGTGGATTTCAATTATGAAATAGAAAATTATTGCAAAGAATGGGTGACTGGTCTAGGAGTTAAGACTTTTGATCAGTTGCTAGATTTGATGGTGATTGACCAACTTAAACGTCGAGTTCCTCCTGAATTCGAGATCATTTTCTTGATGAAGGGTGGGTAGAGATGATTTCATCTAAAAAATTAGCTGAAAAACTTGATGCCTATGAAAACGTTTGCGGAAACTTTCAAAAAAGCCTGTAGTGGATCGGCAGAAAAGAAAGAAAGATACAATGCACTAACTCAAGGTAAATTGAGTTCAGATAATAAAAATAAACTGAAAAAAAAAATTGTCATCAGGATTTAATTCGCAAAGCTGGTTTCACAGACCTAGAAGTCCACGTCCAGATGATAAATATGAAAAACGAAAAACGCCACAATGCTATCAGTGTCGGGTCCTATCAACATTTAAGACCCCAATGTCCAAAACTTAAGAATAGTAACTGAATCTTCCTGCTAATCTTAACAGAATTAGTGCAAAACCAGAGGATAAATTTCTATTACCTTATACTAGTATGGGTTACGTAAATGGTCATAAAATTCCTATATTAAGGGATTCAGGTGCTAGTATTGATATAGTTTGTCGCAAATACATGACGCCGGAAATGCTGACAGGTGAAAATGTGTGGGTGCAACAGCCGTTAGATTTGAATCCAACCTGGTTACCATTGGCTGAGATCAAACTAAATTGCGATCTTGGGCGAGTAATAACTAAGGCTGCCATTATTAGAAATGAACTCGACAAGGGAAGGTATTTATTAGGCAATCGAACTTTTGCACTATTGCATAAACAAAGAAAGGAACCTGATAGTCATCCTCGCCAGGTTAATGCCGTCTCTACTAGAGCTCAAAGGAGAAGAAAAATAGCAAAAGAGAAGATCTTGGAACCGATGAAGAAAGAAAATAAAGCATCCAGAGATGTCTTTAAAGAAGAAGTTAAATCACCGGAATTAGGCGTGGAAGATGTTCACGAAAAATTGGAAAAACGAATAAACAAATTAATATTGAGAATCATTTTGCAATGCAGCGTTATCATCATCTTTCCGGCTTTTGATTTAATATCAAAGCCGCTACTAATAGACGAAGAAAACAATTGTCCGAAAGCAAATGACAACTGAATATTATCCGAAAGGCACAGATGAACTGAGGAAAGACTTTGCTGTGAATTATAGCCGAGGAACTGGTCCAACATAGAAGAGATCTAAACGCCGTCAAGAAAAAAAAGGAAGACTAATTTGAATACTGTCTATTTTTATCCTATATAAATGTGATGTAAAAGTATTTGTTTAAAACTTAAAATTTTGGTTTAAAGTTTGGAACTTATGGGAGAAATTACCTCTTCTTAAAATAATTCAGAATGCCGAGCTCATAAACTTTCGAATTTTACAGAACTTTTCCCTTCGGAAAAAGTCTCTCCGTTGGGGGAGAGGTTGTAACAGCTTTAATATCGTTATTAATCTCTCATGCATTTGAAATAGATGAATAATAAATAATGTACAGATTACTGGCAATATTGAAATGCAGGCTCGAGAGCTGCATGCATTTTTCTCGCAGGAAGCATGTAATTTTTTTTTTTTTTTTTTTTTTTTTTTTTTTTTTTTTTTTAAGTAAGTATACATAATTTTTCTTCTCTTGTTTGTATGTCGCCATTT